GGCTTTGTTTTATTCCATTGAATGGGTCAAATTTTTCTATTTTTTTTGCATTCCTCCTAATGTTATTCAAAATTGAACATTTTAGGTAATACATAATACCTGGATACTAGTCTTTCCTAGAATGTTGTTACTATTATTTGCTTGATTGTTTAGGGACTAGATAAACTATTTTGGTGAAGTCTGTCTTTTCCCTCTCCCTTCTGTTCCCATACTGTGCCCCCTCCTTGCCCAAAACACATACGTGCATGTGTACACACACAGTATTCAGTCTCTGACATTGCTCGCAAGGAGCTATAGCATAGCTCAGCATGCCCACAGTCACTTTGGGGTGACAGTGATATTGGTATGGCTCTCCTCTCTTTTTCCTGACCACACCCTGGTGTTGTACTTCACTAGCTGTTAGCAGTTTCTGTTGTTTTCAGCAAAGTCTTGGAGTACAAATTGCTCTATAAACTAATGCAAATTTTGCTTCCATTGAAGGAATATTTTTCTAGGGTTTATTTCTGATGTTTGTTCTGAACCCAGGAAGGCTTCTTATGTTCTTGTTCTTCACAAAATATACTGTCTGTAGTGTAGACTGTACTTTCATTAAACCCATGAATCTCCTTCTAGTTGCCTTTTACCATATCCCACCACTGCTCTTGAGAATGTCCTTAGGCTTGAACTTATTCATGCTATGAGACCAATAAAGTCAGCCCCTTTGGGAAAAGATTAGCAGCTGTTTTATGACTTAGCTCTAATTTGAGACAAAGTCTCTGAGCCAGAGCTCTAGAATTGGGGGTGTGGTCAGTGACAGCTTCTCTCTGAGTAACATGTCTGCTTTAAACATGGAGCACTCAGTGAAGTTAGAGGCAAGGGGTTGGGCAGCAGTCTGAGGTCCTCTCTACTTGTCTATCCTGGTGGCAAAGCTACTTGCCTTCCAGATGGATTAAGGGTTATTAGCACTCCAGTATTCTCAATGGTCCTGTGACTGATGGGGCTAGGCAGGAGAAGGGACAGCCACACTTGCCTGGAACTTAACCTTTGCAGCAGATAACTTGGGGACAGGATGACATAATGTGAAGTACTACTTCTCCTGGAAGAAAGCCCTCCAACTGGGAGCTATGGAGAGAAGGAACCCTGTATTTTTGACTGCAGCAGTCAAGAGTAAAGTACAGGGAACCAGCAGTTAGCGTAATGGCTATGTCGCTGGACTCCCACGTAGTTGACCGCAGTTCGTGTCCCGGACCCGGTGGCTTAAAACTCACGCCGGGCACGTGTGCGTGCGTGCCCAAGATCCCGAGAGGAGAATGGAGGAGAAGGGATTGCGGCATGACCATCCCCCCTGGGGGGTGATTTCTCGCTTTCTGTCTCTATGTCTCTCTCTGTCTGTCTGGTGAGCGCACGCGCCCTACAGTGAAAATCTCTCCAAAAAAAAAAAAAAAAAGAGTAAAGTACAATCTCTTGCTGAGCTGATGTGGGGGGAGGAGAAAATAGTCTTGGTTCAAATGCCACAGATCTTATTTTTCTTAGCCAAATTTTTGTAGGTTTTATTGAGTAGTTATTTCTTCATTTGCTGTTCGCCCTTGGAATCATTTCCAGAGCCTTTTAATGATTGTTTTACAGTTTTCACTATTTTCTCTGGATTAGAGTGAGAAGAACTCCTTATGCTGACATATCAGAAATTGATCTCTGGATTTTTTTCATTTTTTAAGAGAGTTTTTGCTATAGGACTTGTGTGCTCACCAGAAAGATAGAAAGAGACAGAGAGAGGGTAAGCAATTACTCCCCCATGCAGGATGGCCATGCCACAGTTCCTTCTCCATTCTCCTCTTGGGATTTTGGGCATGTACACATATGTGCCCAGCTTATTTCAAGCCACCGGGTCTGGGACTCAAACTGCAGTTCACCATCTGGAGTCCAGCACCGTAACCACTACCTGCTGGCTCCTGGAATAGTTTTAAGTACACTGTAGTTACCTTCTTTTCAATGGACTATAGAATCGTCCATTCAATTATTACAGCTTGTAAGGGCTTGATAGGTTTTGGCAAAGAAGCAAATGCTCTTAAAAATTGATGGAGACTGGGAACCAGCAGTTAGCGTAATGGCTATGTCGCTGGATTCCCACGTAGTCGACTGCGGTTCGCGTTCCCCGGACCCGGTGGCTTAAAACTCACGCTGGGTGCGTGTGCGTGCGTGCCCAAGATCCCAAGAGGAGAATGGAGGAGAAGGGATTGCGGCGTGACCATCCCTTCTGGGGGGTGATTTCTCGCTTTCTGTCTTTATGTCTCTCTCTCTGTCTGTCTGGCGAGCGCACACGTCCTGTAGCGAAAACCTCTCCAAGAAAAAAAAAAAAATTGATGGAGACTTGTCTTTTTAGAGTTCCTTTTCTGTAGGGTCAATTTGATAAAATTTCCCTCGATGATGTTCTTTTATTAATGTTCAGATTTTCCATTTATTTGCATGGGATTGAGCAAAGTCATCTCTTGTGAGTCTCTTAATTTTTTCTGTGTCTGTGTTTATTTCCTTAGGGACTTTACATATGATTTAAGCACTATCACAATGCATTAATGATATATGGGGGTATCTTTTAAAAAAGTTCATGGAAATGTATATTCTGAAAAATCTATGCGTGGATTTCAATTTTTTTCTCATACCAAAGTGAACTTATACTTTAATCCCACTTTTCCATGTACTTTATAAAGTCCCTCTTAATACTTGAAATCAGAGTTCTTCCCAGAGCCTCACTGTTTATGATTTAGTACAATCAGAATTTCTTTATTTCCACAATAATATTTTATTGAACTCTTGTTCTGTACTAGGTGCTTTACAATTTTGATTTATTTTATCTTCAAGACAGCCATATGAAATATATGCTAATAGTATCTTTATGTTATGGATGAGAAAAGTGAGTTGCAGAGATTATGTTATTTGCCTAATAATGCCTAGATGTCATAATTTTAATTTTGGTTGCAAATACTTCAAATTATTAAGTAAATAGATCTGTTTGCTTCCTAAATTCTCAAATTAAATCATTATCCAGAAAAGTAATATTTTTAGTTGTTTGTGGAAATACATTTTATTTCATGAATTATCTTAGTGAAGATAGTAGCAGGGATGGGACCAGCAGATGGTGTAATTCTTATGTTGCTGGACTCCCACGTAGTTGACCACGGTTCAAGTCCCATACCCGGTGACTTAAATTCGCTCTGGGTGCATGTGTATCCGTGCTTAAGATCCCGAGAGGACAATGGAGGAGAAGGGACTGTGGCATGGCCATCCCCCCTGGGGGGGTGATTTCTCATTTTCTGTCTCTTTGTCTTTCTGGTGAGCGTATGCGCCCTGTAGTGAAAACTTCTCCAAAAGAAGAAGATAGTAACAGGGAAAAAAGTTACCAAAATTTTCCTTCCTGGGGCCAGCAGGTGATGTGGTAATCTAGGTGTTCGATTCTCACATGGTTGACCATGGCTCAAGTTCTGGACCAACAGCTTGAAAATCATAGCTAATAAATAGATAAACAAATGAATGCTTAATTTTTTTGGGGGGGGGGACCAGCAGTTAGTGTAATGACTATGTCGCTGGACTCCCATGTAGTCGACCACGGTTCGAGTCCCGAACCCGGTGGCTTAAACTCATGCCGGGCGTGTGTGCATGCGTGCCCAAGATCCTGAGAGTAGAATGGAGGAGAAAGGATTGTGGCATGGCCATCCCCCCTGGGGGTGATTTCTCGCTTTCTGTCTCTCTGTTTCTGTCTTTGTGGTGAGCACACGTGCCCTATAGCAAAAACCTCTCCAAAAAAAAAAAAAAAGAAAGAAAAATTTTTTTCCTTCCTTAGTTACCAATTATTGGTACTTAAATTAGTAGTTAATATTATTTTTTTTCTATAGAGTACATGTGCTTTCTGGAGACACACACAAACACACACACACAGAGTGAAGTCACCCTCTAGGGGAATGGCCATGCTGCCAAGAGTCTCTTCTCCACTTTCCTCTTGGAATCTTGGGACATATGAACTTGTGACCAGTGTGATTTATAAGTTGCCAACTCTGGGACTTGAATACTACTGAGTCTATTATGTGGGATCCAATGTCCTTACCCTCTATGTCACCTGCTGCCCCCAGTATAATTTGTTTTAAATGAACATTATTTATTTGGAAAATCAATGTAACAATTATAATATTATAAATAAATATTTTAAAATAAAAAACTTAGAACATCACCACTGTAACATTTTGATTTTTGTATATTACCTTTAAGTTTTTTGGTATGTGGATATTTTTATGTAGATATAATTAATATATCTTTTTTATATTTTGCGTTTGATAAAGTGAGCAATTACAATTACTGTTAGGGCTGGCCCTGTAGCCTAGTGATTAGGGGAGCTAGATCTTATATGGCTGGCCATGTGGTTTCACTCCTTGATCGGGCAGATTGAAAAACACATCAGGTGCATAGGCATGTGTGCCTAGAAACCTTAGGGGATAGAGAGATGGAGGAGAAGGGGTTGCAGTATGACTACATCCCATTGGTGGATGCTTTGGCTCGCTCTCTCTCTCTCCCCTCCTCCTCCTTGAATCTCTCACAAACGTATTTGCCCTCTGCCAATTAAAATAAGTGTAAAGAGTTCAGAGAAAACTTTGGTAGAGTTGGAAATAAGTAAAAGCTACACTGATTTTGTTTTTGACTTCTTAAGGTAGCTCTTTCATCTCCAGCATTTGTGTGGAACAGCTTATTTGCCAGTAGTCCAATGGCTAACTTAAGTTATATGATACAGTCAGGGACAAAAGAAAGATTTGTTTTTCTTTAAAACTTTGTTAATGTAATATTTTAGTTGCACTTCTGAAATGAGAGAGATTAGGAGAGATAGGAATTTGAATAAAAAATGTAAAGACTTTATCAGTATGAAAAAAGATTCTCTTTAGGAAGGATTGAGTAATGTATGACTACTGCCCTCTTGGGTTGATTTAAGAGACATGTTTTTAAAAATAATTTTACTGAGATTTATCTTTCTTCTTTCAAAGGTGTTAAAATCATCACACAACAGGTTCAACCAAGTAAAATCTTACCTAAACCAGTGACAGCAACTCTACCCACCAGTAGCAATTCCCCTATTATGGTGGTTAGCAGTAATGGTGCAATTATGACAACTAAACTGGTAACCACTCCTACTGGTAAGTTCTCTTGAGCATCAGTCCATTCATCATACATTCATCAAGCAATTTGTCTCTACCAGCAGTATGCTTGGCACTAGGGATTTAGACCCAATTCAGAGAACTTTCTTGATGCCTCATTGCCCTGAAACTAGTGCTCTCTTGTTATTCTTTCTCATGATCCTCTGTCTTTTCCCTTTACCATAATTTTTATAATTACTTAAGTAGTCATTTGTTAATTTGTTTAATGTTATTATTCTTACTAGACCATAAGCTCAATAAGAGAGACTATATCTATTTTACTCCTAAATATATATAGCTAGTTTATAATTAGGTGCTCAGTTAGGATTTGTTGAGTGAATGAGAGCTGTCCTAATCCACAAGGATCTCATTCTGATGAGGTTGAGAGTGTATATTGTAGTGTATAAGCTTTTCTGAGTCTGAGGGGAGGTACAGGATGCCATTGTGCCCGGATAGGAGAGCAGCCAACTTACGTGCTCTGGGAAGTTATAGTACCAACCATTCTTTGTGATCTAATCTCTCTAAATCTTTTTCTCATCTATTTAAATGTGTTAATAATATGTATTCCATAAGGATACTGGAAATATTAAATGAAATCAGGCATGTAAAAAGTTCCCAGCACAGTGGCCAGGAGGTGACTTGGAGATTAAGGCAGCTTGATCCCACGTGGCTGACTGTACAGTTTGTGTCTGGACTTGGCTACTTGAAAAAAACTGCCAGAGGTGTGTGTGTGTGTGCATTCCCAAAATTCCAAGAGGAGAATGGAGGAGAAGTGCATGGCCATCCATCTGGGGGTTGATTTCTCACTTTCCCTCTCTCTTTCACTCTCTGATAAGTACACATACCCTGTAGCAAACTAAAAAACAAAAACTCAAAAAACTTTAAAAATTAAAATTAAAACTTATCTGAGGAGGACCAGTATTTAGATGATTGAATCTAAACTGTATAAAATGATACCCTGTCAAATTTATAAGCTGTTACTTATAAATTGGCCAATGGGCAAAGGTCTACACAGACATTTTACTAAATCACCATTAGCTTTATTATCTCCATTTTCAGTGACTTGGCAATAAGCAGTTTGCCTAAGTTCACATAGTCAAAAAGAGGCAGAACTGGGATTTGAGCTCACATCTATTTGACTATAAAACCTGTGCTTGCCTTTTTTTTTCCTCTAAGAGATTTTTTTGCTATGGGGCACATGCACTTGCCAGAGACACAGAAAGTGAGAAATCACTCCCCTGAGGAGGGCGGGGCATTGACCATGCCACGATCCCTTCTCCATTCTCCACTTTAGGATTTTGGGTACACATACACACACACACACACACACACACACACACACACACACACAGTGTGAGTTTTATGCCACTGGGTCTGGGACTTGAACAGCAGCCAACATCAGTCCAGTGATGTAACCATTTTGCCATCTGCTAGTCCCTTGCTTTCTTTTAAAAAAAATCTTATGATAAAATATACATAACATGAAAGGTATCATTACATTTTATTATTAAAAGTTCATTGGCATTAGTGGCATTCACATTGTCATGTAATTCCGGGCAGCATGAAATATCTCCAAAACTTTAATTTTTCCTAAATTGTAACTCTGTACCCATTAAATAGTAACTCTCCATTCTCTCCCATCTTCCAACTCCTGGCAACCACCATTTTATTTTCTGTCTGTATACAAAACTTGTGCTTTTAAACAGTAATGAGATTGTATTAAATTTATCATTCTTGGAACCAGCAGATGGTGTAATGGTTATGCTGCTGGACTCCAATGTAGTTGACTACAGTTCTAGTCTTGAACCCGGTGGCTTAAAACTTATGTTGGGCGTGCGTGCATGTATGCCCGAAATCCCAAGAAGAGAGTGAAGGAAAAGGGATTGCATTGTGGCCATCCCTTCCAGGGGGTGATTTCTTGCTTTCTGTCTCTTTGTTTCTGTCTCTCTGGCATGTGCCCTGTGGCAAAAATCTCTTAAAAAAAAAAAAGTTATCTTTCTTCTCCCAAGCTTTTCTCTATTTGACACAAAGATAATAATGATTTATGTATATATGTATATATACATATATACATATATATGATTTTTTATGTTAGAGAAAGATAGTGAAAGAGTACTGTGTCTGTGTTTGCGTGTCTATATTAAGAGTATTCTTTTTTTAAAACAAAGTTTAAGTTGATAGTTTTTTCATTTATAATTCAGTAGATTCAAATCATGTATCTTTTTCTTTTTTTTTTTTTTTGAGAGGTTTTTGCTACAGGGCATGTGCTTTTTCCAGAAAGAAAGAGAGACAGACAGAAAATGAGAAATCACCCCCCAGGGGGTATGGCCACACCACAATCCCTTCTCCTCCATTCTCCTCTTGGGATCTTGGGCACACACGCACACATGTCCAGTGTGAGTTTAAGCCACTGGGTCCGGGACTCGAACCATGGTAAACTACATGGGAGTCCAGCGACATAGCCATTACGCCAACTGCTGGTTCCCAAATTAAGTATCTCTGTAGCATATTTACTTTGCACAGATCTTTTTTTCTGATTCAGACTTAGGCTTGTAATAAATTTAAACTAATTCTACTTAACATTCTTCTTTTTCTTCCTTTTTTGAGTAGCGATTGTATTTTTAAAGGTGAATAATTTGCTAAAAACATTGTTTTTGAGGGAGCTGTTGCTGAAAATGGCTGTCACAGTGTCCTCTAAATCTAATAACCATGAAAAAGAGTTGTTTCAGTTACAGGTGTTACCTTAGTCATTTAAAAAATTCGTCCCTAGGCTAATAATTCTTAGTTTAGAAATAATCTTTTTGAGTTAGTTTGTAAGAAATTGTAACAGGGTCATACGATTAGTTTTTTAGTCTTTTTTTTTTTTTTTTTTTTTTTTAAGATTTCTGTATTTGGGCGTATGTGCTCTCAGAGAGATAAAGAGACAGAGAAGGACAGAAGAAGAAGGAGAAATCATCCCCCAGGGCAGGTGGCAGTCCCTTCTCTTCCAGTCTCCTCATGGGATTTGGGGCATGTACACACATGCACCTGGAGTACTTTTCAAGCTGCCTGTTCTGGGACTCAGATTCCACAGTTGGCCATGAAAGATCCAGTGCCTTAACCACCATGCCATTTGTTGGCCCTCAAATTATTAGCTCTGTCTTTCTTTCTTTCTTTTTTTTTTTTCTTTTTAAAGTTTTTTGCTATAGGCTGACATACTCACCAGAGAGAAACAGTGAAAGGGACAGTAAGGAATCACCCCCTCTCCCCAGGGGGGATGGCCATGTCCCAATCTATTCTCCTCTTGGAATTTTAGTTATGCACACACATGTATCTGGCATGATTTTCAAGCTACTGGGTCTGGGACTCAAACTGCGGTTGGCTATTTGGGATTCCAGTAGCTTAACCACATCACCTGCAGACCCCACCTGGTTAATTTTTAATTCCTGTTTGAGAAGAGAGAAAAGTCCTAGAAATAATGGTCAAAGGCAATAAAATCCTTTGAGAAACATGAAGGAAAATATTGTAACAGGTCAGTTAGAGTTGAGGAAATATGTAAAAAAAAAAAATTTTAAGTTAAAGAGAAATATTCCTGGCAACTCCTGGCAGCTTCAGCTTCAATCTCTATTAAAATGATGGACTAACCTTTTAAAAGATGGAAATATGTTTAGGATAGTAGAGTATAAAATGGTAAAAGTTTATAAAATTTTAGGCAAACAATACTGTGTTATTTGGTGAGTGCTGACATTGGGTTTGGCACTGATGTGGTGTATAACTGATGCAGAGACTTAAAAATCTATCACAGAAATATGGCAGGAAGGATGATTAAATTTAAGTTTCCTACGGTCTGGCAGGAAAGATGATTAAATTCAAGTTTCTTTTGGCACAAAGCTAGTAGAAGAAGGCTAGTGGAAGAAGGGTGAACAGTTAGCTCTGCTTTTTCTTGGGTTAGTAATTCGATGCAACACATTACAAAATTTTATGTGTAAAATTAATTTAAATGGACTTGGCTACGGTTCTTGCTTTGTGCATTGAAAACTGGCTGTAGAATTATAAATTAGTGTGGACACCTTGAAATTCCATTTTTAAGTTAAAGTAATATAGAGTGTATTGAATAATAGCTAAACTGTATAAATTAACATTCTTCTATAAGTAATGACAAGGTTTTTGTTTTTTTGGCTCTTCCCTTTTTGTAGGCACACAGGCAACCTATACCCGGCCAACAGTGAGCCCATCCATAGGCCGCATGGCTGCAACCCCTGGAGCTGCAACCTATGTGAAAACTACCAGTGGTAGCATCATTACAGTAGTACCCAAATCCTTAGCTACCTTGGGGGGCAAGATAATTAGCAGTAATATAGTTTCTGGTAGGTATATCTGAAATATGTTATAGATACAGATGAACTTCAGTGAGAGGATAAAACATTTCACAATTGATGGATTCCGTTTCAGTTTTCTGCTTTGAAATCTAAAGCTTGGTTTTCAATCCTTTTGTTCAGTGATTAAGTATAGTTTTTGTTTTAGCATTAAATATTGGGTTATTGGAAAAGTCTTGATGCATTTTTGCACAGACTAACAGCAAAAAATACATCATGACTTTTCCAGCAATCCAGTCTTTGGTAGTTATAAAATATGAAGAACATTTTGTTGCTTTTATTCAGAATGGAAAGACTGGTTTATGTCTGCATGTAGAGGTTTTTTATTCAGACTCCATGATGACCCTGAGGTAGCTGGTATAGTGAAATTTATTAATGAAGACAGATTTGGGTTTTGAGAGGTCAAATTGACTTGTCTATAGCCATACAAGTTAGGTAGTAGAACTATATTCATTCATGTAAAATATGTTTGAGGGAACATATTTTATATTTTTTTTACTAATGTCACTTTAGCTTATTAAAAATAAAAATATTGGGATATCTTTATTTGCTTTTCACCATTTATATTAACTGTTTGCTTTTTAGAAATATCTTACTCAGACAGTGAAGGCTAGCCATCTGCCTATATATTGGTATATTGGAACCTTAACCTGGTTTTTATTGGCTCATTAATT